CTCCAGCTCTGCCGGCTGGCTGAAAGCATGGGGATTGTTTAGCTTCTATAATTGAAACATAGTTTTTTAGAGTGCAAGCTCAGAGCCCAGCAGTAGCAGGCGGGGAACCTTGGCTTCCTCCTTCACTGGAGCAAGCAAGCCTCCAGTTCACTTCAGCTGCCTGGCTGCCAGCCGCCATCTTAGTTGGCAGTTAATTTACATAGCGCCCTGAGTAGCCAATGGGAAGCGTAGCAAAGGTACAGTCAATTACCCTTTTTTTCTTTTATTAGATAGGGTTACATTTTGAAAAACCCAACTCCTAGTTTAAGTCAAAAGATATGGCTTATTCCAACATATTTCTAGGGTTCCTGAGAATAACTCTATCTTGTGTACAGTTCCTCAAACCATTTTCCCAAATAAGTGTCTCGTGATTACTTAGATGTTTTGGAAAATCTCCCACTTTAAATGTGATCAGTTTTCAAACATTACTAACCTGTTCGCAAGCAGGCTATATTTGCGAGCCACCACTCTGGGATCCTGGGCAGAATGACAATGACTCGATCTCCCCTTTGCAGGGCACAGGCTTCTGTAAGTATATTGGCAAATTTCTTGGACAAAGATCCCAGTTCCTCAAAACTCCATCTCACTTCTTCTCCTTTTCCATTTATCCACCAGAAGGCTGAATTGGAGGGTCTCTTTCCAGCCTGAGGAAAGATAATCCAGCCATAGACTTAAAGTTGCTTACCCAGCTAAATCCCATTTTAACAGATGAATAGAATGTTTTCCCGAAGAAGTCACAGGCCACTCATTAGGACACACATGGAGTATTTGGGAAGAACTCTGGATTCTTATTTCTAGACTAGAGGCCTGGTGCACGAAATTTGTGCATTTGGGGGGGCAGGTCCCTCAGCTCAGCCTGTGCCCTCTTGCAGTCTGGGAGCCCTTGGGGGATGTCTAACTGATGGCTTAGGCCCAAGGTCCCCCACCGTAAAGATTATCTGGCTCAATATGATAATGGTTCTGTGGTTGAGAAAGCCTGGGTCACAAAAATGTATGATTATAGGTTAGTTTTTTAAAAATACAAAAAGGAGTAGAGTGAAAAGTGACTCCAAGGACATAGATACAGCACTGGGAGAAATATAAAGGGATTCTAATCCTCAGGCTAAATTAGAAGTGACTTGTGCTGGGAGAATGACATGGCTGGGGGACTGGTCAGTGCATTCTGGATATTCAGCAATACCCCTACCCACTAGCCACACCCTCCCCCAAGTCATGGTAATCAAATGGTCTCCAGACATTGCCACATGTTCCCTTGGGGCACAATCACTCCCAGACGGGCAGTGTAGACTGGCCCTGCGATGTACCTTTTCCATGCTGGTCCACTGGTCCAAGACGTCTTTAGCAAAGTTGAAATACTCTGGAATCTCCAGTTTGAAGTCCTTTTTCATGGACTCATAGTTGGAGAAATTCTGAGGAGTCACTGTTCTATAACCTTTATGCAACACTCTAACAGGACCAGGAACTGTTGGGCGCTGACAACACTTGGAACGAAGCAATATCTTCATTGTGACAAGAGACAGCATCAGTTTGGTTGGACCTTTTAGCACCCAAGCTTTCCTGTGGGGACCAATCCACATAAAAGACAAGCAAAAGGACATGTGTTTGTTTCTGTCCTGAAGGTAGCCATACCCCAAAGCAGCAAAGTTTCATTATTTATCATTCATCATCCTCATCCCATTTTCTGAGCACTCACTAAGTTCCAAACACCATGCCCAGTGTTTTATTTACACATAATTTATCATTAATTCAAAGTAAACCTGTGAGGTAGATACTATTATCATCTCTATTTACAGATGGAGAGAATGACTAGTTAGAGGCTGTTTAGTCAGGTCTGGAGGCCATAATAAAATACCAGACATTTATTTCTCACTGTTCTGGAGGCTGGAACATCAGAGATCATGTGCCAACCCATTTGGTTCCATTTCTGGCTTGCTGATGGCTGCCTTCTCTGTGTCCTCACATGGTAGAGAGAGAAAGAGCTCTGGTCTCTTCCTCTTCTTATAAAGACACTAATCCCATCAAGGGGTCTCACCCTCTGACCTCATCTAACCCTAATCACAGCCAAAGAGACCACCTCCAAATACTCCCACGTTGGGAGGACACAAACATTTGGTTTGTAAAGAGGCACTGGTTGGATTTGAACCAGAAACCGTCTGGTTCCAGCCCCTTCTCCTGACTACTATGTGTGTATTTCTAAAGAAGGAAAGATCTGGGTCACTCAGTTACTCTCAGTGAAAGCAAAGGGCTAAGCCTTCTCACTAACTCTTCCACCTGCATATTTCAAATTAGTGCAGAAATGTCACAGAGAACTCACAGCGGGGAATCCGCAAAAGAAACCAAGTGGACCAGTACAATGAGGCACAAAAGCACCGTCAGAATCCTCGAGTTTAGAGGCTGTGGTTCCCACGCTCCCATTAGTCCACGTTGTCTTTAGTCCTGGCTTGGAGCTCTAAGTACCAGACATGGTAATAACAGGGCTTCAACCACACGGACTGTGTGGGGGAGGGCCCTCCAGGACACCCAGCCTCCCTGTTTCTGTGGGAATAATTTGATCATGATGTCACTTACTCGGCTGAGATCTCATAAATGAGGCTGCTAAAAAGACCAGGTCTAGGCACATTAGGGTTCACTTCTTATATTTTCCACAATCTTCCAAATTCCTTACAATGAAAACTACTCTCACCATCATTAAATCATTTTTTTTGTGTGTTTTGTTTTGTTTTAATCCTCATCCCAGGATATTTTTCCATTGACTTCTTAGAGAGAGTGGGAGAGAGAGGGAAAGACAGAGAGAAATATCAACTTGAGAGAAACACATTGATTGGTTGCCTCCTGCACACACCCCAGCCAGGGCTCAAGTCAGGAAGAAGCCTGCAACCGAGGTACATGCCCTTGACAAGAATCGAACCCAGAACCCTTTGGTCCACAGGCCGACGTTCTATCCACTGAGCCAAACCAGCTAGGGCCATTAAATCACTTTTAACTGAAATTCTGTGTAATGTGTAAGGCAGTATGGCTATGGAAGCACTTCTGTATTGACAAATTGGGAAACAATAATTAATAGCGGGTGCCAGCCATAGATTTTGTCCTAAGTGGACCTGGCGCTTGGGTGTGGTGTGGTTGCACCCAGTGCATTGGGAGACCTGGGGTTCTCCTGACCTCTCACCCTGTGTGAGGACCTGATGAGTCAGTGAGCTGGCGCCCTCTGAGAGCGTCTGATTTGAGTCTTCTCCTTTTCCACCTTCAAAGAGAACAGCCCGAGAGAGTAGAAGCAACTGGCTTCAACACTCACAGCAGAGAGAGAACTAGAGAGTTAGAAACATCGATGAGAGAGAAACATCGATCAGCTGCCTCCTGCACACTCTCCACTGGGGATGTGCCCGCAACCAAGGTACATGCCCTTGACCGGAATCGAACCTGGGACCTTTGAGTCCGCAGGCCGACGCTCTATCCACTGAGCCAAACCGGTTAGGGCTGCCTCTTTGTTTTGTTGTTCATTTCTTTTGCTGTGCAGAAGCTTTTAAGGTTCCTACAGTCCCATTCATTTATTTTTGCCTTTACTTCCCTTGCCTTTGGGGTCAAGTTCATAAAATATTCTCTAGGACCAAGATCCACAGTTTGGTACCTATATTTTCTTCTATGTAACTTATTGTTTCGGGTCTTATATTTAGATCTTTGATCCATTTTGAATTAATTTTTGTACATGGGGGCAAACTGTAGTCCAGCTTTATTCGTTTGCATGTGACTTTCCAGTTTCCCCAGCACCATTTATTGAAGAGACTATCTTTACTCCATTGTGTTTCTGGCCCCTTTGTTAAAAATTATCTGCCCATAACATGTGGTGTTATAGCTGAGCTCTCAAAGGTTGCTGATTTGATTCCCTGTCAGGGCACATGTTCAGGTTTCCAGCTCAATCTCCGGTAGGGGGTGTGCAGGAGGCAGCCATCAATATTTCACTTTCACATGGATGTTTCTCTCTCACACGGGATTGCTTTGGCTACTTGGGGTCTTTTGTGATTTCATACAAATCTGATAATTTCGTGTTCTATTTCTTTAAAAATGACACTGGGATTTTGATGGGAATTGCATTAAATTTGTATATTGCTTTGGGTAATATAGTCATTTTAACTATGCTGATTCTTCCAATCTATGAACATGGATATTTTCCCATTTTGTTGTGTTTTTTTTTTAACCTCTTTTAATAATGCTTTGTAATTTTCAGTATGTAGGTCTTTCATGTTCTTTAAGTTTATTCCTAGGTATTTTATTCTTTTGGTTGCAACTGCAAAAGGAATTGTGGGTGGGTTTTTTTTTTTTTCATTTCTTTCTCAGAAGTTTTGTTGTTAGTATACAGGAAGGCAATCAGTTTTGCACATTGATTTGATATCCTGCAACTTGACTCTTTTTTAATTGTTTCTAACAGTTTTTTGGTGGAGTCTTTAGGGTTTTCTGTATTTAGAATCATGTCATCAATATGAACTCAGCTGGCTGGGCATCCTCCCATGCACTGAAAGGTTGCTGATTTGATTCCCTGTCAGGGCACATGTTCAGGTTTCCAGCTCAATCTCCGGTAGGGGGTGTGCAGGAGGCAGCCATCAATATTTCACTTTCACATGGATGTTTCTCTCTCACACGGATGTTTTTCTCTCCCTCTTCCTTTCTCTCTCTCTCTCTCTCTCTCTCTCTTTCAAAAAAAAAATGATCTCCAACATTGCCAAGGGAATTACTTTCTTAATGAAATAATGACATAGTCATGAAGAAAAAAATAAAAAGGAATAAACAAAGAAAAATAATCAAGAATAAGCAAAGGCTGAGTACTTCAGAGCTGGACTAAAGGCCTGGTTCAGAAGGAGGTAAGTGGAAGTGTTATCTGTGTTTGCCAAGGGATGAGGAGGGGCACTGTAATTCTAACATCTAGATTCGGGGTAGGAGATATGCATATTTTTCTGACCTAATAGAGTTACACCTAGCATAGTCAGCACATATGAAATACAATAACTTGAGTTGGGTTTTTCAAGTTTGCCTCCTGATTTGCAATTCTAGCATGGAGGACACAAATATTCTTGGGACTCAAAGTGAGCAATAATAAGGAAGGAAATAATAAATATCAGAATAGAGCCTGGCTAGTGTGGCTCAGTGGTTAAGCATTGACTTACAAACCAGGAGATCACAGTGCGATTCCTGCTCATGGCACATGCCCAGGTTGTGGGCTTGATCCCCAGTGTGAGGTATGAAGACTGCAGCTGATCAATGATTCTCTCTCATAATTAATGTTTTTATCTGAATCTCCCTTTCTCTTTCTCTCTGAAATCAATAAAAATATATTTTAAATAAATGAGTGAATAAATAAGTAAGTAAATACATAGATATCAGAGTAGAAACAAATGAAATGGAGACTAAAAAATATATAAACTATCAATGAAACCAATAGCTGGTTCTTTGATAAGATAAATAAAGTTGATAAATCTTTAAGTATACTCAACAGGAGGGGGGAGGGCCAAGTAAATAAACAAGAAATAAAATAATAGTAATAACTGACACTACAGAAATACAAAGAATCTTAAGAAAATATTATGAACAATATGCTAATAGATTGGACAATCTAGAAGAAATGAATAAATTCCTACACACATACAATCTCCCAAGACTGAATCAAGGAGAGAGAGAAAATCTGAATATGCCTTAATTACAAGCAACAAAATTGAAGCAGTAATTTAAAAAAGTTCCAAAAAACAAAAGTCCTGGACCATGTGGCTTCACAGGTGATGTTATCAAGCATTCAAAGCCTAACACCTATTTTTCTCAAACTATTTCAAAAAATTCCAGAGAAGACTCTCAAGCTCATTTCACGAGACCAATGTTGTCCTAATTCCAAAACCAGGAAAGACACTATCATGAAAGAAAATTATAGGCCAATATATTTTTTGAACATAGATGCAAAAATCCTAAACAAAATATAAGCAAACTGAATTCAGCAAAACATTGAAAAGATCATATACCATGATAAAGTGGGATTCATTCCTGTGATGCAAGAATAGTTCAATATCCACAAATCACTTATTGTGAAACACCACATAAAATGAAGGATAAAAATTACATGGTCAGATCAATAGATGTAGAAAAGCACGTGACAAAATCCAGGACCCATTTATGATAACTCTCAACAAAATGGGATTAGAGGGAACATATCTCAATATAATAAAGGCCATATATGACAAACCCACAGCCAAAATCATATTCAAAATTATAAGACATTGAAGAAAAAAAATAAATAAATGGAAGCACATACTGTGTTCATGGATAGGAAGAATTAATCTTGTTAAAATCACTCTTATTCAACATAGTGCTGGAAGTGCTACCCACAGCAATCAGATAAGAAGAAAAGATAAAAGGTATCCAAATTGGAAATGAAGAAATAAAACTGTCATTATCTGCAGAGGACATGATACTATATATAGAGAACCCTAAAGATCCCATCAAAAAACTACTAGAACTGATAAATAGATTCAGTAAAGTAGTAGGATATAAAATAAATATTCAGAGATCGGTCATATTTT